GTAGTTTAATTTCAGTTAAAACAAAACAATTATTCCCCAATACTAATCCTTACCAAAGATCTTTCCGTAAATATAACAGTAAATCGTGAACCATATAACTCAATGAATGTTCGAATATCGGACAAAACTTAAAAACTGTTGCCTATGGGAATTGAGTAATGTCCTTGTACCAGCTGTGTGCTAGAGCGCACATTATGGTGGAAACACTGATATATATTGTTCATTTCATTGGATACCCACCATTACGCGACATCATCAGATACGTAGAAGATGGAACTGGGACACGTCATATAAACACGAGCAATAAATCACATTATTGCCTTTAATTTACTACCAGTAATTCTTCCACTCATTTATACAAACTACATCTCGTTGACTCACCTCTTCGTCTCATAGTACGGTTACAGTCATATTTCCAATTTGATAACTGTTCAACGAGACGAGGTTTAACCAGAATATTCTCATTTCTATTTTGAGTGCGAATTATTCTCCCTCGCAATATAGTCTTTTGTCATTGGTCGGGTATTTGCTTTCCAAGTCGATACTTCCAGTCTCTGGTGAGCACGTGCTTTCACTGAGACTGCATTCGAGTATTGGAGATTGATCACGTTTCTACGGTGATTGAGAAACCTTGTTAACGTCGCAACTGAGCCTAATGACAGCGAGTACTTTCATGCCCAGGCGATCATTAAACATAAAATACCCCCGTTCGAAGATTCACTATAAATAAACCTAACCCACTTTTACAGACAGCGAAATGAAGAACATTGACTTCCTGGTATTGATTTAGGATATTAAAACATAAGAACAAAATGCAAGCATTTAATACAATAATTACGTATGCACATTAATTAAAGGTTGAAAGCATACATGGTAAGATGTGATTAGTACACGAAGGTGTGTGCGCACGTTATGTGAAACAAGATAATATGAACACTGAAAATAATGATTCAGAAAAAGTGGCTTCAATCTCCACTTTACTGTAACGTTATCATTTCCAGGAGTGAAGTTACTAGAAAAATATCTCAGACCTACTCATTAGACTAACATCATACACCTATTGACCGACCATGGGGTCAACAGTGTACGCTTGTTTCCCCCGAGGGACTGTAAATCATTTAATACAAACCTATTTTCTCGAAACACGGAAGCGACTAACAGGCGTTCACTGTTGCCCGATTAAGGCCAGTCAATATGTGTTTTATAACACGTCAGATTAACTGTTTTCCACATGAAATATGACATTTGAATAATTAACTTGCTCAACTATACATGTATATTAAATATGTCGTATTAATTAATTATTGTGAATGTGTACTACACATGAAATAAAATGATAATTTAAAGTTATTGTTGTAAATGTATACTGATGTGAAATAGAATGAGAGTAAGTTCATAAGTTCATTGAGTATATGCTCTTCCCGTAACAAAGACATGATAGGTGAATCTGGTACTAACGAATTACCCCCCTGGTGTTGGTGCGCTGTCCACTAACTCCTATTTTGTAACATATTTCTAATCCTTCGGTGTCCAAGATTACGTTGCTACAGTTGTCGCACGAAGGCATTGGTTAGTGTAACGTTAATTGTCGCGATTCTTTTGATATCTTCATCATTTTCTGTCGAAGTAGGTTTTTGTCAATAGGCATATGCTTTGCCATACCAGAGATCGAATTACTGTTCTAACGTTGGGCATTGGTCAGTGTTAAAGTGCTGTAGAAAATTGATTGAGATTTCTCCAGTTTCTTGTGTACTTCACGAGCGACTCGACTCAAAGTGAATTTACAGGGTTTCAGTCTAATATCACAATCGCTCTATATTACCAGCCGCGATAGATAATACAACGAGCATAAATCCTGATTTATCATTTACGGTACGGAAGTGAGAATATTTTCATGTCTACGATTGCAAGGATAAAATATACTGATCATCGATTTCTTTGCATAATTCTGACCATTGCTTTGAGTACACATAATTTGCGTGCAATCAGACACGTCTCGGTGGGAAACTTGCAATCTATGTCCAAAACTGTTACCTTATAAATTTAGAAATTATACAGTGTATTTACGGCCCCGCTAATTATGCTCTTTGTCTTCTCAGAATCCTTACTGGAAACTAGCTATGCCAATTCCTAAAGTTAGACGTCGTCTTCTGCAGACATGTTTAATGTTTACAAACATCACCTGATTAATGCGATTAACCGATGTGTTGCCAAATAGTCGTATTTTTTTAAGCAGTCCAGCAACTGTTTCATTGATATCTGGGAACAGAGTAAAATTAGGTAACACCACATGACAGCGTATTAACCAATCACGACACAGAATCTGGACGAGAAGTGGTTTAACAGACATTGTACTACTGGAATGAGGAGGACGGTGTGGGCGTAATAACTCGACAGCCCCGGTAGCATCTGTTGAGACCTAATGCCTAAAGCTAAGTGAGATATGAAAACGCTCTGTTGCCGATGATTGATTCAAATTCAGTGCTCACAGTCAGTTTCTAAGAATTGCTAATACAATTGGAGATGTTGCACACCGACGCAATTGTTTCATCTTCATTGAATACCAACAAATTCAACCTTATTGATAACATCTCCGTCTGCCTTGACGTTTGAGGAACGATTTGAGGTTAGGTCGATACTATAATGTATTATAATATTTCGATTTATACTTGATAGGGTAACCTCTGCCGTATAAGGAAACGTTTTTGAACGTAATCGTCTAGGACTAGACGATCATATGAGTGTCTCTCTATTAAAATAACGTATAGATGAATCTGATTTAGAACGTCTCGTGTTCGTGTTGGTTTACATGAACTTGGCGCTAGCTCATAATGGGCATCAGTTTATATATCAATTGGGTTTAGATCGTCTGAAGATGGACAAGTTTTACCGTTAATAAATCATATCAATATATTGGTCACTTGTCCACCGACTTGTCGCGTTAACCCCCGGCTCAAACTTACCTAGCTACGCACTACGCACCACGAACTTTAGTGCCGTATTATTTATTATTTATTATTTATTATTTATTATTTATTATATTATAAGATTTGTCTTGTGATGGTGGAGAGGAAGCTCTAGAGATGTTCTCGTTTCGCTCTGTGATGTTGCTGACGGGGCCGCGCTAAACCTCTCACCACTTACGTATCAATTGTATTACCTTCCGAATTGCCGCTTTTTTGTTATTGTCATTACGCAACGACGTCTATATTCTAGACAGGATATTACACCTTCAAATGAACTGAAAACCTTTTAGCTCCGCATTTAATACCACATTTAAAAAAACAAATAACAGGCGCCAATTCATACTTGGTGACTCTACACTATTAGTAAAGATGTCGATTAAAATGTTGAGTTCAGTGTACACAGGAGTGCTTTCTGAGGATATTTTGCGCCGGGAAAATAATACATATATTATTTTGTTTTGCGTCTATTAGGCATTTAGACGGATGGCGTTTTATTTTATTTGTCACGTGTTCAGCAGATGTTGCAGCAATGTATCGGATACTAATACCATTTGCAGCATGAAACATAGTCCTTAGAATGAGATTCTAAGATATATACATAAAACAACCTGTGTTTGTTTCACAACATTAAATTTAATTTAACATACAGTGGAGCAATTCGACACCACGTCAAGCGAAATTGCAAAATGATTTTTTATGATGATGACTAGTCGTTCGAAAGTACTGTAACTGTTAAATGATTTTTCGATTTTGAAAGAACTGTTTAACACTTTTGGAAAGAAAGAAAAATCCAATTTCCCTAAAATCAAGAAACTAAAAATATGTAAAGATATACCAGCAATTGTCCCTTTGAAAATACATAATTGTGTCACGGGATTTTGTATTGTCTCATTGAATTCTATATAAGTCATTCATTGTTATCGTGATTCTTCAGCAAGCAGTGTTCCAAATAACTTACATTGATCCGCCTCAAGCGCCAACAATTGATGGTTACGACCCTTTTTTTAAATAGGATTTTACTTATAATATTAAATCGATTACGTTAATTTACCTGTCATAGTTTTTAATAATATTTCTATATATATGTTGAGCGTCTACTCATGCTGACTGCTAAGCAACGGAATAAAACTTCAATTAAGGTCGAGATTGATAAAAAGACCCTTGTCTGGATTTGAAGACGGATGAAAGAGATGCTTCGCCGATGTAGCATTACAAGTAGTACTACTTCGTGGTTTCCAATGCATTTTCTCTCGAAAATACCATTAAAATTGTTATGAGAATTGATGTTATTACCAGACAAGGGGACTCGCTATATCCAAGAACCTCTACTTTGGGACACTAAACACATGGCACAGGCCTACTTCATGTCAATTATTTGACATGTCACGTGACATGACGAAGGGCTCGATTTCGTGGACCTTAAATTACAGACTTGATTGTACGTAAATACAACTCGGCTAAGCCATCGACACTCACTGACTCTTTTATTTGGTTCATTTCAGATCGCCGTGACGTCATTTTTACACACCCACACGCTTTCCCAGCAACGAGTCGAGATAGCGAAACACACCAAGACAAAGATACGAAGTTGGAGCATTGCCGCACGGTATTAGTCAATATTCCTCGACCATCGCTACATATATAACCGCGAACGCCAGGGGTTTGTGTGTATGAGCCATTTTGACTGGATGGGAGGCCGAGTGACGTCATATGTGGTAGTGGATCGGGCGCGCGGGATTGCAATTGTCAGTGCGGAATTTATACAAGAGTTACGCACACAGAATGTTTAACTAACAAAAGATGCAATGATTTCAACTAACAATGCCGACACATCCGGGATCTGTCTTAACATTAGTCGTCAGAATCTTATCTAACTGAATGAAACCCACGTAAACGCCAAACCATAACGCAGTACTTACAAGTGTGCAACGCATCTACCCGAATCGCTGCATTCTCCACTCGCAAGCTTTTCATTTGCCTGGCTACGGAATATAACAATATATGTGTGCGTGAATGTAAGTCTAAATCTCCGGAATGTATGCGGCCATCGCTAAGTTCCAATGGAATCAGCTATTCGCATGTTGTTACTGTTTCAAACGGCATCGGAGAAAGTCGGGCGGATATTACGACCATCGAAACAAAGAGATGGACTATCTGAACACGCCATCGCGCCGGTCATCGGGCTCGGCATCAAGCACCAGTCCGACTCATGCTTCGACTTCTACTAGGCAGAAGATAATAGCCGGTCATGATCCTATTAATTTCTGGGTGATCCGCGACAACGATATCGAGGTTTCAAGAATACAGCCAGGTAGGCCACGCATGAGTCACGTTAATGTGCTGAGTCGTAAAGTGAATATATGTCTATCTATTTATCAATACGCGACGTTCCCCGTCACAGAAATTATCATTATTAGCATATGAATAATTTGTAATCGGTAAGTTTCCGCTTACTGCGAGACCTCGCGTAGAGCGTGATAGACGGGGACTGAACGTCTGTCAGAAAAAAATCGAACGATTTGATTTTGAATTCGATTTGTTTACAGCTTAATGTCGAAATTCTGACCTTTGAGAAGGAAAATATTGCGTTTAGAAACCCTTACTTCGTCACACTTGACCATCATTAAATGTGTATAGCACATTATTATGCGTGGAAATATCCCCCAAAATACTTTGGGTATGTCGTTTGTCGAATCCCATGTGACGTTTGACGTCACTACGACGTATGAAATTTGTTTGTTCTGTTTTGGCATTCTTGGATTTCAGGCATAACCCGCGATCTCGCAGTGAATGGAAAACGGTCTGAACATCACTTTTGCTTGATATATTTACACATCACAGAATACACATGTTCACGTATTGTGCATTTATACCGTCTGTGTTCAATATTGTACGAAGAAATGTATGCATTCACAAATGTAACGCACTTACTAGACACTATAACAACGCTCAATATCAACTTTTCTCCCAACGAGTTGACTGTTGTAAAAATTGGGATGGGGTTACGTTTAGAAGAACAAACCTATACAGAGAACATTCTGAGAGATTAATTTCTTCTCCAATAAAATTTAATAGTCACCTCTAACAATTTTGTAATATTACACTCGCGAAGCTAAGCGATATTCACTTATTTTACAATCTTTTCCAAGAAACGTGAGAATCTTTTTTGTGAACATTTTTAAATAACACCGCAACAAACGTGACACAACTTGATTCGCGTTGTGTTGCAATCGGCTCCGTTATTGTGTTAAGAAGAGACCCCGGCGCTAATATCAGGTCTTATTACAATTCTGACTTTATAAGCGGTGGCGCCACATCGTACGCTGACTTTTTTAGACATCATACCTAAATAATGAACGTATTAGCAATGTGATATAAACGTTTACAGCCTTAACAAGACTTGATGCACGACAAATGTTTCATTCATTGCATCTATTTTCACGAAGTCCGATTAAATGAAAGAGAGCGCGAAAGAGATGGAGAAGATATTGCGTCGCGACAATAAACTTACTTTCCCACCGTATTACGTGCTTAGGGGTATCTTGAATTCTTTGACGCGTGGCCTTTATTAAATATCCGGAGTACTTTACGGACCCTTTTTGAAGCTGAGTTGATTATTCGATACAGTGCAGAGTATCAACAGTTGCCATTTATATTGGCGTGCGTGACGTATAACACAATGAATAATTAAACCAATTGACGAATATGTTTCATTCCTTGTGAAATTATGTCCATTATATTCCAAATTATATATGCCTAGGGTATTTCCACCATTTTGACCCAGAAATAAAATTAGATCCAATTAATATGTCAAACAACAACGTATGCGGGAAATTCAACTTATCTACCATTCATTGCGTTGATGACGTCATTTCACGTATAGACATTTCATTTACCCTATGGACAATTAATTATTTAAGCAGTCATAAAGAAAGATAATGCAGTTTCATTGTCACGTGACTATATCTAAAAAATCCACCATAATATTCATCCTCGTTCATAGCTACAACTATTGTATAATACAATATTTATAAACAAGAATACTAAAGAGACAAATTTCACTGATAATGATGTGTTAATGATTTGTTACGAAAGTTGACTTAATTCTATACACTCACATAGTTGAACATCTTACAAAACAGGACAAGAAAATGGTAGTCAATACGGTCCAAGCATGCACCTCCTTCAAATTCATCGTCCTTAGTAGGACTAATCAAGGGCGCGTATTCAAAATTATGTTGGTTATTATCTGTAGTGAAAAATTCTTCTACGTATGAGACAATTGTGGAATGCATCAATCTTTTAAGACAAGATTCTCAAACGACAATATTAATTAAATAAGTTAATTAAGGTTAATTCTCTTGGCGCAATATCTCTGAGAGATAAATGGCTTGTCTCGTTCTGTAACGCGTTATAGTTGGCCATAAATAGAATGATAAATCATATAATATGACTTGAACGTGCAGAGAAGAAATGCAACGATGATAAAGACACGTTATGGGGTGTTGTAATGAGTACGTATCGTCGTTTACTCGATGTTTTTGATATCGATGTTCAGAGCAGTGTCGTAACTTGATGATATGTTACGTTGTTATTGTGTAGTTAAATGAACGTGTAAAAGGCACTACGACTCACAAACAAAGTATTAAAACAACGTTATGTTAATGGTCCCAGTGTCGGATTATAACATTTATTATACCAAGCTATGACATATAATTGTACCACGAATGAAACTCGGTTGAGACGGTTCTTCTCAGAGTACAACGTTAACAATTGGACTCACCGCCCACACTTTATGGTAATTAATTATTACTGGGGACAAGAGCTCGTCCAAACCATCAGTCAAGTACGTGACTTGGTTCAGAGAGAATCACGGCTCTACTCTATTGCGTCTTATCTTAGAATAGTGCATTCATGGAGAAACTGAAACTGTTTTCTATTTTCAAACAAAAAATGTTAATAGCCTTGCTGAAACTGATAAAATCGTTGACGATTGAATCTCGAAAACTAATTGACAGAGGAACGTTGCTGCCGGTTCGAAGAGTAAAGGATTACAGAATTAATAGTGCATACTGAACTGCGTTTGTGAAGCTTCATAGTTTTCCGAGATGTAGTACAGATACCGTGTTACTGTGGAGTAACATTCTTCGGAATGATGACAAGATACCGAAAAGACAACAGCTATTAACAGTTGAACAAATTTATTGAAACACAAATCAATGGCATACTTCTATCCACTTTGAATTCGAGCAACAATGGTGTTCATAACTTCATTATCATTGGTCAATTAAGACGCGCTATGTCTGTCTATAATATACATCCGGCCATATGTGATTGGTCTCATAAGGGAGATATATAGTTGGCTAATAGGTCGAAGGTTGCTGTATCGGATTGGTCATTCACGAGAGACATATGATTGGCCAAGAGTTTGAAGGCCGAATCTGAGATTGTCACCAAGCTCAATGATTTAATTTACAACAAACACGGAGCGATGTCTATTTAGTTCATGTATGTCTTATTTCCTTACTCAGACTTAATTGTCTCCATTGTACTACAGTTCCAAGCATGCATCCTTAGATAAATGTAGATTGAAGTGTAAAAACAAAATATTTTTTTTGTTGTAATTCCAAACGCGCTCTAATCAGTACTTTTTATACATGGTTGAACTCGTACTGTCGTCGTGGATTAAACTTAATGGCTTGCATGATTAGCGTATAGCCATACCGAGCTGAAATGTACACGCCACAAAAAATGTTGCTTACTAATTGCTCTACGCGTCTGTATCATCGACATCGAACAAGCCGAACATGAAGGTCAAAAGTCGGGCATTGTGTAACAGTAACATTTTATGAAACCCCTTCTGTCGATTGCGTTTTAATCAAAGAGTCGTGCCGATAAACTACACAATCAAGGAACCCGAATCTCACCCGGGGGAGGGTTACTAGTATAAACCTACCCAAGTCTATGCGAGGCACCCAAAGGGGTATGTAAAGTATGTTTTAAATTGAACGAGTTCCTTTTTTACATTTTCAAGGGTCAGGGGTTGGCTTTTTTGAACTTGTCAGGAATCAAAGCCATGTTTAAACAATTTTAAGAGGTTGGTTTTTCTTGAAAGTTTGCATCGAGGGGTCGTTTTTTTGATAATTTGTTTCAATGGGTTGTTTTTTTTTTTGAGGAATTTGGCCTTCCGGGCCATGATTTCACCTAAAGTCAGTGCTTCGCATACCTGTATATAAATAATACAATTGATTCCCAGGATCTCATCTCGCAGATAACGAGATTGAAATATCAATTCGGAACTTTGATTATTTTATTTTAAAATTTCGTCGCATAGAGATGTCATGCAATATATTTACTCTTTTTAAAACGTCGGTTCATTTTTCTCAGTGTGAACCGTTCGTAGTTTATTTACCTTGTAAATGCGTTGTACTTCGATGTTAATACAGGTGTAACTGGAATATCCTATTGACTCACGTTGATTACAATGTGATCGTTCGAGATTTAAATTTGGTAGAGGTTTGGTTAATCCAGCAGTGGTACATTGGGGGTGTAAGATATTGTCATAACCACTTATACGAATACCCCAAAAGAAATCAACGTTACATAACATCGCGCATGCCGTTCCCTGTTTCACGTGGCGATATATAGTGCCTTTCCATGCGATTTTACTCAGTTGTAGCTAGGCGCCATTGAAGGTTTGTACAGCGAATGGAACAGCGCATATATTTTATACATTGACCACTATCGAACATCATGTATAATATTACATTTAACTTGTCTCCTGCCTAATTCGTGAAAAAGAAAACCTGTAAAAGTATTTCGTAGTCATGTATTAAATCTTCACAGTGGTTTGCTCATCTGTCTTGACAGATATTGACGGCAGGGAGCCCAGTAAACATAGTGATTATATTGAAATGAATGTACTATATCAGGCTTTTATATTAATAAAACCACAGAAGAATTGCCTATACACTAATGTGCTTACTACGTCACTGACTCAATACACTGAATAGAAAAAAGAAAGTGTGACTTCTGATGCTCTCGATAATAGTCATAAAACACAAAAATCAGTCGTTTATAGTTTTTTGAAAAAAAATATGAAGAACTTCTTTATTTCACATATGATTTTTCTCCTTTTTTACGGCATACAATGATTCTAGAAGTCTTTTGTTTTATTGATGTAGTTCTATAAGCCAGTTTGAATAAATAATACAAAGACTCCCTGGGAATAGATTTATTTAGGGTACATTGACTTCCTAGCTGCGACATTTTCCTCGTTACGAGTTAGTTAGATTTATTGTGGGTGCCACA